AAAAAAACGCTTCGCCTTGCCAGAAATCGATCCTCCAGTAATCTAATCACATCCTTTTGCAGATCTGTGGCTGCCATGAGGTCGACACCGTTGCAATCAACACCATCAGCCTGGACCGTGTGATACCGTTCTATCAGCCGCCAAACTCTCTGCCCAGTTTTAAGCACAACTCGACGACCCGAAAGAGTTTCACACGTGGCAACCAGAAGTTCAGGCTGTCAGTGGGTGGCGCCAAGCCGGCCCAGGTGCAAGAGGAGCACGAGGACAACAAGAGTGGACTGTCCTCGCCCAACTATAGCTTGGAGGTTGTGAACGAGGCGGTGCTGGAGTCGGCGGAAACGTCTCCGATGTCCTCGTTGCCACCTGTCCACTTGGCCTCGATGGCAGGATCGTCGTCGGACCTGGCGCCGCATCATGTCGTATACGGCGGAGCAATCGAATCTTCCCTGAGGCAGGGTAAGTACTCCAGAGTGCCCGATAATATGGCCAGCTATGGTGGTAGTTACGGCGCCATCGATACCCGCCTGATGTCCTTGAACGAACCGAGTTCACTGCACAAGCCGGACATTTACAACATATATTCGCTGGACAAGAACGAGGAGGCGGATGTGCAGCAGTTGGAGTTTAATCTGAACGACAGCAATCCGCCGATACTCAACAACTATGATAACTACGAAATGGCCGAGGACTTTCCGGTCAATCAAAACCTGAACTACATTACCAATAACTATAAGCCAGTGCCCGTCACCTCCACGATCAACGCCTCGTCCAAGTCGATCAAGAAGACCACTACCACCACCCTGCACAAGAGGACAACGAGCAACATGGGCAGCGCAAAGCAGACGTCCACGGGCATCTTTGGTGGCAGCAAGCTCAGCCAGGTCTCCTCGGTTAGCTCCATGGAACTGCACAAGCTGGACGACAACATGCTATTGAAAAAGTCCTCCTCCACGAATGTCGTCAATAAGAACAAGCGGCCAATGGGCTCGGCCCAGAGCCAGTTTAGCAAGGAGAACAATCAACAGCAAAAAAATATCAACGTGGAAATCATCACCAAGCCACCGATGCGATCCCGCACCACCCTGGATATGCGTACGTCGCACCAGGCTAAAACTCAGGAAAAGCAAAATCATGTGGGTGTTTGCGCACTTCATTATTCAACTTACTCAACATATTATTCCAACAGCAGCCAATCAACAATCGCATCATAATGGATGACCACGACTTCGACATGCTCTCGAGATCACACGAGGCTGTGCTGCAAGAGCTGAGCAATCGCCAGTCCAGCCTGGATTTGCTGCGGCACGCAACAAGGTATTGAACGTTACTTTTAAGGAAAGTATCAATCGATATATGCGTTTGTAATCATGCAGGTCTCACGATGTGCTGGGCGCATTAAGGCAGGCAAAGAGTTGTGGCAAATCCATTTTCATAGATCTGCTCGGAGCCATACTGGAGAAACCGTAAGCAGTATATTTTAAATAATAAAGCGATAGCATTGGGAGCTAAATACCATTACAGGTCCTCGTGGAACTTGGACTTCTGCATGTTTGTGCTGCCAGAGATTTACGAACTGTTGCAAAGCCAACACAAGTTGTAAGTATGGATACTAATAAACGACAAGGCAGCCAAAGTAAACCCAATCTGAATCCTAGCCACTTTACGAGAGCCTGTGATACCCTGCGTATTATACTGTCGAACTTCTTGCCAACCATTCAGGAGAACCTCGATTCCTGGGCTGCCAATGGCCTGGGCGTCGATGTGACCCGCGAGGACCGACAGAGGAAGTGCGCCGAGTGCCAGCGCTGGTTGCTGCAAATCAAGAACCTGCCCGAGAGCATCCACTTTGGGTCCACGCTGTCACAATTGCAAAACATAATTATTTTCTAGGGACTCCGCATATCCAGCTGTTAATGCTCTTGAACGGTACAAAGATCGTCAACAAAAGAAAACCACCAGCTTCCCAAAACCTGATTACCAAATCCAGTGTCGTGGGGAGTGGCCTCATTTGTCGCTCTAAGCTGCCAAACTAAGGAATTTTAAACAATCGTTTCCGGAACAGCAGCTCCAACACGAGCTCTTCCGAACGCTGTTTATCCAACTCTAACATTAACCCTAGGACCTGCTTTTCATCATCATGTTGCGATGAAGTCAACCTGAAACTTGCGAACTGCGAAGTTACGTGTGGTTGCCTTCGTCACAAGCTTATTTCAGCCGACCATGATGATTGGAAAATGGGCCTTACTTATTTAATGATTTGTACTATTAATTTGTTATGAAAACTAATTTATATAATAATTATTTACCTACACCTAAGTCTTAAAAATTGGAAAATATATAAAAGAAAATACAAGTGGATTCCATTACCAATTTGCGATCAAATATTCGTTACGTAAGTACCTTTTCCAGAGTTTACAACTAATCTAAAAAAGTTCATGGCGATCTAAAGCACATATGTACATACATATGTACATATGTGTATGGTAAAGCTATGTTACATAGCTAGATTGTTAAAGCTGATTTATCTGTTTGACGAATTGCAACTAAACTTGTGTCTTCACATGTATGTATTTAGCACAAAGACTAGTATATTGGGAAAAGCTATATAGGGGTTGTTTACATTATTATGCTTATTTTTGTGCAAGCGGTGAAATCGGGGAATGTACCATTGCGGTTCACTGCTCCAATAGAATCACCAACAAAGCATCCAGAACAAACGGCTTTGAAGTTCAACTTACCATGTCGCCGAATCATTGTAGCGTTTAATGCCCAACCTTTCAATAGAGTTTTGCAGCGATTAGTGGAGCACTTCGACCTGGCACTCCGAGCGCATCGGCTGTACTTCTGCACGATGTCCGAGAATAGAGTCATCCAGATTTGGATGCGCTGTCTGATGCCGCTGCTGCTGGCCAACTGTATTGCGGCGAATCCCAGTTTCGAGGACCTTGGCCGCAGTCTGGATATGGAGCCGAAGGACAGCAGTCTGGTGGACACTATGGGCATGGACATGCTGGATTCCACGCAACCAAAGCAGATGAATTACCAGAAGCCGCCCTTGGGATACAAGGACTACGATTACTATGTGGGACCCCGACGAATGGCGGATCCCTATGCGGCCGATAATGACCTAAGTGCCTCCTCAGCCATTAAGATCCATGGCGAGGGGAATTTGGCCTCGCTGAACAGGCCCGTCAATGGAATCGCCCATAAGCCACTGCCCTGGTACGGCGACTACGCTGGCAAACTGCTGGCCAGTGCTCCCCCAATGTACCCATCCAGGTCCTACGATCCCTATATCCGCCGCTACGACAGGTTAGTTTGTGTTCCAGCTACTCAATTCCTTAATCGAGAGATTCCTTATTATTAAACGGTTTTGTCTTACAGATATGATGAGCAATACCATAGGAATTATCCGCAGTACCTCGAGGACATGTACATGCACCGCCAACGCTTCGACCCGTATGATAGCTATAGTCCCCGGATACCGCAGTACCCGGACCCTTACGTTATGTATCCCGACCGATACCCGGATGCACCACCATTGAGGGACTATCCGAAATTGCGCCGCGGATACATCGGTGAACCCATGGCGCCCATTGATTCCTACAGCAGCAGCAAGTTCGTTGTTTCGAAGCAGTCCGATCTGAATTTTCCGGTTCGTAACGAACGAATCGTATACTACGCCCACCTGCCGGAGATTGTACGAACACCATATGACAGCGGATCCCCAGAGGATCGGAACTCAGCTCCTTACAAGCTGAACAAGAAGAAGATCAAAAACATTCAGCGCCCTCTAGCGAATAATTCTACCACCTATTAAAGGACGTTGTAGAAGGGCATTTAGCATCTAAGAATTTTTTTTTATTCATTACTCGAATGCATTTGTATTTGTCACCCATGGAAATTAGCACCAAGTTCAGTGTTACACCACATAAATTAAAGCAAGAAAGATAAATATAGGCAAGTTCCTCGACTATCAGATACCCGTTACTCATTTAATGATAGCGCGTGTTAGAGATTTCATCACTTTATTGGGTACATCGAGCAAAAAATGTGTTACAAAAATATTTCAAAAGTGTGGGCGTGACAGGTCTGTTTGTTCGCGCTACAAAGGGTGTGTCGACATCAGAAAACAAAATCTTTATCCTTCATCTCAACCTTCTTGCCTTTATAGTTCCTGAGGCGTTCAACAATATCACTCGTCGATTAAACCTGATTAAGAATATACTTTACTGGGTCAGTATATGCTTTTGTTCAACAAGTAACGTGTATAAATGCTCTTTTTAAGGAAGGGTTATATTTTCAGCTAGCTTCATAATTAGTGTGATACCAAATATATTATGAACCAAAATAATTATTCAGCACATGTATTAAGTTTTGTAAAAAGCATTGCCAACCGATAACCGATGATAGTCAACCAATTAAATGGAAAACTGGTTCTGAATAACTCTATTTGCAAATGTTTTCATTTGGAGTACGCATCGACGCACTTTGTGGATAAGAACCCGAATAATTGGATAAGCAATTACTACATATATGTATGTATGTAAATGACATAAATTCTGTATAGGTGTTTTTAAAATTTGTTGAAAGTCCCATCCAAAATATATTCCCTGCGTAATTAAAGCAAATTACGTTAATTACAGAACATTTAAATTACAGTATTTTTATCGAAAAGTCTGAATCGATTTTGAATAGTCAAATCTCTTTTAATTGATGCTGTTTAAGTGGAACGGTTGAACATATAATGGACCCATGAATATGTTATAACTAATAGCAAGCTCTGTTTTTCAGCAATAGTTTGCTGCCCTTTGCCGATTTGGTCATATCTTACTTAAAAAGGAAACAAGGAAGTGAGCCAGAAATCATATTATTCAGAAAAGATTGAAAGGCTTTTGTGCTGTGTATAAGTGAATTTACCTAATTATAATTGAATTATTGTCTTGTGTTGCTTTTATTTTATTTTTTTTAAGTTTTAATACATACACCAACAGGATACAATGGCAATCAAGCTGCATTTTTTCGTCGCTTTTCTCATGTTTACTGCATACTACTTGGCAGAGGTTTATTCACTAGTGGAATTTACAAACGTACAGTGCGAGTCTCTGGATAAGGACTTTTGCATATTTGAAAAATGTCTTCTGAAATCTGTAAACCGATCTTACAAATATCTTTCCGTTAGTGTTAAACTCCTACAGCTACCCGTAACCAAAGCTAAGGTATATTTCACTTATTGTATATTGTATTTAAATGGATTAAAGTAAGTTACTACTCCTTCATTCAGGTGCACTTTAGTCTCCAAAAACGTTTGAATGGCTATATCCCATTCCTCTACAATATGACTATAGACGCATGCAGATTCCTTAAGTCGCCTAATTCCAATCAGGTTGCTCTTTTTTTTTACAATTGTTTCAAGGAGCATTCCAACATAAACCACACTTGTCCGTTTGACGTAGGTATACGCGAAGCTTAGAAATAAATTCTTATTAACTTGTTTTCTTATATTACATTCATTTCAGCATGATATTGTGGTGGATAAGTTGTCGTATGATAGTATAAATAATAAGGTCACCAAAATGCTGCCCTTTCCGGAGGGGAAGTATATGTTTGAAATGCACTGGATAGCCTACGACATTAGTCGAGCTATAACTAAATTCTTTATCTCACTTACCTCATAAGAAAAAGCTATCAGTAATCAATGAGAAGGCACCATATAAATACAATTGTAATCAAAACTATAATATAATGCATCTTAATTTAAAATACTAGTTTATTTAGCAATTTTTTTACCTATTTGTATTTGGTGGAAATATAAAACTATCCTTGTAAAACCGCTACATTTCTAAGCCACACAAAAACAAAGAACACTAGTCGAGTTCCTCGACTACCAGATACCCGTTACTCAGTTAGTGGGAGTGCGAACGAGAAATTTCCACATTTTTCTGGCATATCGATAGCAATTGGGAAAAAAATAATAATTTAAAAAAAATCAAAAAAAAATTACAAAACTCTTTCTTGCTTTTAAATAATATATTTCTACAAAAAGGATTAAACAAGAAATTAGTCCAAATATGTATCCCCTTAAACTGAAAAAAATCTTAAATGTATTCCTCTTCACGTAGACGTGTAAAAAACTTTCTAAGCAAATAAAGCCTATTCACAACTTCACAGGTTTTGCTTTTTTTTGACCAAGTTTCATTTACGGATATGGATTTATTGAAGACCCGGCAAAATTACATTCATCGGTTCGAGATCCCCAGAGTCTCGTTAATTACGCAACGCCATTACTTTGACTTTTGTTTCGGACTGGGAGGGATATTAAAGTTTGCGATTTGTGTAATTTAACTTTTTCGCTGTCTCTGCAAGTAATTATTTACAAGCATGCATATGTATATCTATGGCAAATTTGCTTGGGCGACGTATGTACATATATGGAAGGTCAAAAAGGCCATTCATCCTGGAGCTTTATAGTATGTGTTTGGGTTTTGTTCTCGTTTCCTTGTCGTTTTGATACAAGAGGAGCAAAAGAGCTATTACTTCTGTAATGCATGAACACGTACGTCTAATTAATGTCCTTTTTTTGGGGCTAAGTTTGTAGGGAAGAATCGGCGGAAGAATCCCTTATATTGCATCAATCAAAACTCGTACAGCTCACGTCGCAAATGAGAATTAGCAATTATTAGAATATGCAATACAATCTGAAAATCACATTATCAATGAAATTGAAGAAAAGTCTACCTATATGACATCAAGTATTTCCAAAACTAGCACCAAACGCCTATCAAAGCCCACTCTTTCTGGTGATATCACATGAAAATATCAAATGGAAGCCCAAAACCATCAAACCTTCACCAATTTGAGTTGCTTGTGCTGCTTAAGCAGGGTATTTCCATGTCTACTACATGCTTGAAGCCGCGCGGCTGTCTGTCCTGCGTTTGTCCATTTTACGAGCTGTGTTTCGCTGTCCGTTTTCCTGCGGCATTTCCGTGTTATTACTCACAACTTGACACGGACATTTTCACAGGTCACAGCCACGCACACATGAACTCGGGCACACACCCATGAATCCGGAGCGCAGGACAATTGCCGTCCTTGTGGGACATTTTGCATGACGATGCGAAGGACTTGCGCTGGAATTGGAAATGGAAGTGAGAGTGAGAGTGAGAGTGGCAGGGGTGGCCACCTAATGAGCGCACACCACCCATCGAATGAAATGTAACAGGCGAGGATGGATTCGCACAGCACTGGCCAATACAATAGATCCCACTGTAGTACCATAAATGGGCTGCGAAATTGCGATATTTATAAGTTCTAGTGGCAATCCCATAATTTATTAACTAATTTGTAGTTAATAACATATAATATAATAGCTAACATTTTTTCATAACTATAAAAATTACTTCTTTCTTGACTATCTTTTAGAACGCAGTGTTGGTCAAAGGGCCTAGAATTTTCCAAGGACCCATAGGCACCTAGCTTCTTGGCCGCTGCTGTGCGTAGCCACATAAATACATCCAAGGAACGAGCAATTCGGCTGCTTTGTGGATCTCGGGCTTGGCAAGAAAAACAATAACAATGATGCACGCGATACTTAACAAACTTTTGCGCCGGGCGGCTCCATAATTAGAATCATTGAAATAGCCATTCAACGTTCATTTGCTCTGACAGGGAAGTCGGCCTTTTTGGCCAGGAGCTGGATGCTTTAGTTCAGGATATTCCTTTACCTTCGGGGGAACACTGTCTGGCTGGCTGGCTGGCTGGAGGACCTCGATGGCCGACTGGCACGACATATGCCCCATGATTTTGGGGGCGTATTTGGAGGTGTTGTGGCAAATGAGAAAACAATGCCCGAGTAACGACTCTCCGATGTGCATTAAAAGATTTATTTCCCTCCGAATAAATGAAGTTTTTCTTTATGGCCCGGTCTCGGCAGTATTTCCACATGGCTGCCACTGCCACTGCCACAGCCACTTCCGCCATCAGGATGCTACTGATTTTGGGCCGTCATGGAGTAGCATCCTGCCCACCTTATGGAGTAGGCGTACTTTGATGGGACATAAAGTACGGATGGAGCCATTCATTCACCACTCCTTGCGGTGTATTCACGCTGTAATCGCCGAATAGTTCAATTCGCTCTAGTTACTTATTGCTTGGGCCGCACACAGCAGAGCAATGCCTTCTCTTCCGCATCCACATGTCAACAAATCACCGAAAATGTATTTGTCTACCCCGGGTAGACTGGCACGTAATTAGGCAACCAAGGTACAAACGACATACTCGTAAAGAAACCTATAAAAATTCCAGTTCCCATTTAGAGTGTCAACGGCGGAGTGCTCAAGTTGAATGCCCTTAATTGATGGAGTGGCGCCCAATGGGCAGGGGAGGTGCTCAAGGAAGCTAATCATCGCTGGAGTGACTCCCAGTTCCTTGTTTAAGAAGTACCTTTAAAGAACTCGCAGACTCTTAGACTCTCGATAAAGAGAAGGATTCGCCTACGTTTTCGAAGGTTCGTTGGTTTTGTAAACTGCATACCACCCACGTATGAATAGTAACCATTATAAGAGTTATAAAAAAAGTCCCCCGACTATCAGATACCCGTTACTCAGCTAGTACTCAGCAAGTGCAAGCGAGAAATTTCAACATTTTCTGGAATATCGGTAGAATTTGGGAAAGAAGTAATAAAACGAAAAAAACTTAGAAACTTGGAAACAAACTGCGGGTATGTCTCTGGAAGCAGCATGCTTTTGTTTCTCAACATTCTAGCTTTCGTAGTTCCTGAGATCGAGGAGTTTATACGGACATACGGACATACGGACAGGCGGACGGACGGACGGACGGACAGACGGACATACGGACAGGCGGACAGACGGACAGACGGACAGACGGACATGACCAGTTTGACTCGTCTATTGATCCTGATCAAGAATTTATATACCCTAAACGCTTTCTTCCGCCTGTTACATACTTTTCAACGAAGCTAGTATACCCTCTTACTCTACGAGTAACGGGTATAAAAACTATGAACTTAAAAAAGTGTTAAAGCACAGGCTTGAACATTTTTTACAACTTGAATGTCTGGCAATTGATTAGATACTCTTGACAAAGCGACAAAACCTTCCCTCTGATTAAATCAAGTTCAAGTGGACTGAGGTAAATAAAGTGAAATTAAATATGTATTAATTCTGCGGAAAAGCGGAGTGGAATCGCATTATAACACCTATGATTGACCTTCTGCATTCCGGGCAGCTCATTAATAATACTGCTCATTTGATAAATACAATTCGGTGGGATAAACAGTTTGCCTGGCCCTTGCCTTTGTATCCGTGTATCTTTCGGATACTCGTACATCCAGCATGAATAACTGCTCACTTATTCTTGTTTGTAATTACCAGTTGGGCAGTCTGTCCCAAAGCGGTGTCCCATCTGGCTGGGTGGTGCAAATATGGCAGATATGTATATCCTTCGTCCTGTGGATGCCGTGTGGGTGTGCGGCTGGTTGGGGATTGCCGAGGGTATAATTGTGGAAGGAGTGGTGCGTGCGGTGGGCAAATGCAAAACCTATAAATCTTTATCCAGTCCGCATTATTGATTGGCACTGCGACCAGGACGCAGGACACGCAAATGGACATATGCTGGGCGATATTACGAATATTCATGCACGGGGAACGGTCGGTCAGTAATGTCAAATTTGCGGGGCGTGGAACCCTGGAACCCTGGAACTCCACCCAACTGATACGAGGGCAGTGGGGAGATTACCACCCCCGGGAAGAAGCGAAACTTGTTCGACGTCCCAATAATAGGATAAATAAATAATTCAAATAAATAACGCCGAAATAAAATCAAATGCAATGACGAGTTATGATGCCTTGTTCCATCCACGAGTTTGTTGTATGTTCTATGTTGTAGGTTGTGTACAGTATCTCTTGTTTGGCTATGTGTCCCGAATGATTGGGGAGCTCGTAAATCACCGAGAAGGGGCAGATCGCATCCCCTGGTCCTTGATTAGAGGCAAAGAGCATCAGGGCAGGGAGTGGAGGCATGAACGATAGGATGCCCCTGGCCACTCGAGTGTCAAGTGCCATGGGCATTCCGAGTAAGGAGAAGCAAGTGTGTAGCGTTCTGTAGTATCTGCTGGTTTGTCATAAATATTCCGTCGTCTGTGCTGTGCGAAAAAATTTATCATTTGAGTCAGAGTTTGTTAATTATTTATGTCGACCATGCCTCATATTTTGCTCTCTTGCGATCTGATTTATGTGGCCCCTGGAAAACTATGGCTAGTTTGCCTGGGGACTTGCATGACATGTGACATTGGATGACAAGTGCTGCATAGCAAAGCAGCGGCATTAATTTAGATAAACAAACTGATTTATTGTCCTGCCATTTCTCGACCAAATCCATACCCATTCGCATCGCCAGAATGGCGAGTCGTTAGTCAGATTCGCTTCGGTTTTTCGGGTTTTGGGGTTCGATCTGCTCGGCGAGTGAAGTGCAATAAAGTCGAATTTAATTGCCCGTTTGAAATGAGCAAACTTAATGGACAATGACTCATTAACACTGACACGTCAAACAATAATGGCGTGTCTGGGATGTTTGACCGAAAACGGAGGAAAAGCGGCAAGCGGCAGGCGGAAATTGAAATAACGCTCTTCCTGCGCAAATGCTACGCACAATACTATGCTACACTATGCCATATATA